ATTTATGTTTCTGTCGATTCCTGGGTGGTCGACCGCGATGAAGTCGACGGTCGACCGCCAGTCTGGTCCGAGTCTAGGTTATGTTTTCTGACCCGTTTCGTTTTGTGTTATATAACCTTAATCACGAATATTAGGGTTAAGATTAAGGACGACTTTGAGTAGCTTTTGAGAGAGAATTTTGTATCATTTGAGGGAGAATTTATGAGAGATTTTGAGAGCTTTGTTTGAGGGTTTTTGGTAATATTATAAACCCTATTTGTATTCTCTTTATCTCTAATAGTAAAAACTCCCCTCTCCTTGCCCCGTGGACGTAGGCAACTTGTCGAATCACGTAAAATTCGTTTGTCTTACTGTGGTTTGTGTTTGTTCGTTTGGTTGTGATCTATCTCGTTCTTATTCGTGCTATTTCATGTGTGTTTTGAGTTTCGCTGCGCACAACAAGTGGTACCAGAGCTTCAAGTTTAGCTTGGGGCTTGTTTGGAGGATTCTCTGAAGGATTCTTATTTGAAGAGTTAGATCGTTAATATGGGTGAAGCAAGCATATCAGGATCATCTCTTACGAAGGCGATACAGAGTCTAAGCATCAATAAGACTAAGATTAATGTTCTAAAGTTTGATGTCAAGATTAATTTTGGTTTGTAGAGGTGCCAGGTGATGGATACGTTGGATGCCCAAAATTTGAAAGAGACTCTTGAATTACAAGAGTGTTTTCGTCGAAAGTCGCTTTCATTATCGATTTCATTAAAACTTCAATCATTTACAAATGAATTCAAATAACAAAAATAAAGATTACAACTCTCTTGAAAATAAACACAAGAATCGTTTATCGGCTCTTGCTTGCGTGAGTTCTTCACCGATGCCGGGGTTTATCCGTGGACGACCGCGGATCGGATCCGGTTGTCGAAAAATTGACGGAGCTCCTACTTCACTAAGGAAGTATTCGCTTGAAGCTCTGAAATCGACTAAGCGAAATCAGTAGCTCTTCTCGAGATTAAGACTAAGCTTAATCTCAAGGAATGGACGTACGAGGCTTCGGATCCTTCGAAAGACTTCTTCTTTATGCTGAAGTTCGCCGGGATCTCGTTGACCTTCGCTGAAATTTAGTGCTCCTTGACTCCTCAATCCAGCAGCACCTCGTCCTCTTGATAAAAATTCAGATCTATAAAATAGAGGCATTGGGTTGATATTTATAGGCCTCAGGTATGGGTATTTTGATGGGAATGAGTGATTTGGCCTTATCTTCAGTTAACAATAGCCTAACCACGTTTGTGGATGATATAAAATCAGTTGGGAACCCCTGGAATAGATAAATCCTGCGAAAACCATTTTAAAACCGTCGAAAATTCGTTGGGCTAAGGACTGCGCGACGGGCTCTGCTAACTCGCGGGGGCGTGAGTCGGCAAGATCCGACCCGTGCTTGGGCGGGTCGGGCACGTCCAACCCGCACTGGCGCGGGTCAACCTGTGTCGTCCTGCGTTGGCGCGGGTATGTCACCTCCGCTGAACTCTTTCTCATTCGGCGCTTTTCTTTCCGGGACTTTGTACTTTTCGTCATTTCATGTATTTGGTCAACTCGTTGACTTGTACGCTTCGTTGCGGGACTGACCGTCGAACGTGTCGGTCACTTGGGGTTGCCCGACGTACGCGTGTTGGTTGACATGTGTGCGTTGGTTGATGTGTGCGTGTTGATTGATGCGCGCGTGTTGACCGACGCAAACAAGCTGATTGACACGCACGTGTTGACCGACGGGCACGAACTGATTGACGCGCGTGTTGACTGACGCGCACAAACTGATTGACACATGCGTGTTGACCAATGCGCGTGAGATGATTGATGTGCGCGTGTTAACAGACGCGCACGAACTGATTGATGCGTGCGTGTTGACTGACGCGCGCGAGCTGATTGACGTGCGCGTGTTGACCTACGCGCGCGAGCTGATTAACGTGCGCGTGTTGACCGACGCGCGCGAGCTGATTAACGCGTGCGTGTTGATCGATGCACACGAGCTGATTGATGCGTGCGTGTTGACCGATGCGCGCGAGCTGATTGACGTGCGCGTGTTGACCGAAGCGCGCGAGCTGATTGACGTGCGCGTGTTGACCGACGCACACGAGCTGATTAACATGCGCGTGTTGACCGACACACGCGAACTGATTGACGTGCGCGTGTTGACCGACACGCGTGAGCTAATTGACGTGCGTGTGTTGACCGACGCGCACGAACTGATTAACGCGCGTGTTGACCGATGTGCACGAACTGATTGACGTGTGTGTTGACCAACGCGCACGAACTGATTGACGCGTGTGTGTTGACCAACGTGCACGAGCTGATTGACGCATGTGTTGACCGACGCGCGTGATCTGATTGACGCACATGTGTTGACCGACGCACGTGTTGACCGACGCGCGCGAGCCGATTGGGTAAACCTTCTTGACTCGTCCACTCTTTGCTTCGAGTTTCGCGTGGGCTCTCATAGGCAATTTTAAACACCCACAAAGAGAAACCTGAAGACTTGGAGGACAAGGTTTGGAAGAAGATGAACAGTAGTGCTTGTGGGGTTATTCGGTTATGCTTGACGCCAGATTTGATTTATGATGTGATGAACGAGACGTCGGCGAAGAGATTGTAGGAAACACTCAATGAGAAGTATCTTACTAAAAATATTGAGAATCGGCTTCACTTGAAGAAGAGGTTTTACCAATTCAAGATAAAGAGGAGAGTTTCCATTAGAGAGCATGTCAATAACTTAACGAAGTTGCTTTCAGATATGACCAATATGGACATCATGGTTGAGGATGAAAACAAGGCGATGTTGCTATTGTATTCGTTGCCGGAGGATGATTATGGTACCTTTTTCTCACTATGATCAATGGAAGAACTATTGTTAGCTACAAGGAGGTGACCTCAGCATTGGTGAACTATAAGTTGAGTAAGTGTGATGGCGAACTCTCTGAGAAGGCATCGGGAGATGCATTAGCAATTCAAGGCCGTAGTCCAAACCGCCGCCAGTTCAACCACTCAAAATCAAAGAATAGAGGTGGCCATAAGAGTATTGGTAGAAATCAATGTGTCTTTTGTAAAGAAGAGGGACATTGGAAGAATGAATGCTCAAACTTGAAGGATAAAGCCGGGAAGAACAAAGGGAAAGCTGTACAAGCTCCAGAGGTGAATGTTGCCAAGGCTGTTGGTGACAATTCAGATTTGGATTCTTTGGGCTACTCTTGTTCTGCACTATCGTTGGTTTGTTATGCCGACTCTACGGAGTGGATGTTAGATTCGGGAGCTACATACCACATTTTCCTTAGGAGGGATTGGTTCTCTAGCTTTGAGGAGTTAGAAAGAGGGGATGTCGTGCTTATGGGTAATGATCACGTATGCCCTATTGGTGATATTGGTACAATCCAGATCAGGATGTGTGACGGGGTGACTAAGGAGTTGAAGAAAGTGAGGTTCGTTCCGTAGTTGTCGATGAACATCATTTCTCTTGGGACTTTGGAGGCAGCTAGCTATCGGGTGATCTTAGAGAATGCCATTTTGAAGGTCACAAAAGGGTCTATGGTGGTGATACAAGGTGTTAGGAAAAACAACATATACTACTTGAAAGACAAGACAGTTACATGGGGTCTGACAGCTTCTATCACTACAGAGGAGGATACTACCGGCTTATGGCACATGAGATTAGGACACACTGGTGATAAGTCCCTACAGACACTGGCAAAACAGGGGCTATTGAAAGGTGTAAAGACCTGTAAGATGGAGTTGTGTGAGCATTGTGTACCTGAGAAGAAGACTAAATTGAAGTTTGGCACCGTAATTCACAACATCTAAGGTATATTGGATTATATTCACACAGATGTTTGGGGTCCTTCCAAGCACACATCACTTGATGGAGCCAACTATTTTGTCACTTTTGTTGATGACTATTTCAGGAGAAATTGGGTATTAAAAAAACCATGAAGCATAAATATGAGGTCCTAGATATTTTGTGGAGTGGAAGAAGAAAGTGGAGCCGCAGACAGGTAGAAGGTGCAGTGTATGATGTCACAGAGTGGATTATCGAGATTATTTTGGGCAGAGGACTTGGTTTATGCGAGCCATCTCGTGAATAGGTTGTTGTGCACTGTGATACATGGGAAGACTCCTATGAGCTATGGTCTGGTTCGGTGGCTAGTGACTATGAGTTACTTCGGATATTTGGGTGTCCAGCTTATTATCATATCCGTGATGAAAAATTAAATCCGAGAGCGAGAAAAGCAATCTTCGTGGGCTTTAGAGAATGAGTTAAATGCTTCAAATTATGGGATCACAAGTCAAGAAGATAGTCATTAGTAGAGATGTCACGTTTGATGAGGCGTACATGATGAGGCCTCAAGTCCCTCATCACGTTGAGAAAGACCAAACTAGTAGGATATCATAGCAGGTGGAGGATAATGTGACTTCACCCACTCCAGATAACATTGTATCCATTAATGCTCCTACAGAGGTGATACTGGGAGGAGATGTGATGACAGACAAGCATTTGGAGGATACACTGGTTGGTGAGACTCAGGAGCAGGGTCATATTCGGGAGTCGATTGCAGCAAATAGACCTAGAAGGGTGATTCGTCGTCCAACTAGATACAATGATTTGTTGGTTGCATATGCTTTATCAGTAAATGTCATTGATGATTTGGTTCCTTCTACATATAGGGAGGCAGAGTCTAGCTCTGATTCGATCAGGTAGAGGGAAGCTATGGAAGAGGAGATGCACTCTCTTCAAAAGAATGATACTTGGAAACTTGCAAAGCTACCAAAGGGAAAGAAGGCTATTAGATGCAAGTGGGTATATGCAAAGAAATAAGGATCTTCTATTGGGGATATTCGATACAAAGCCAGATTGGTTGCCAAGGGGTATGCTCACCTTGAGGGCATTGATTATAACGAGGTATTCTCACCCGTTGTGAAGCATTCATCGATTAGGATTCTTTTGACATTGGTGACACAGTTGGATTTGGATTTGGTCGAGATGGATGTTAAAACAACCTTTCTACATGGAGACTTAGATGAGAAGATCTACATGAAATAACCTATTGGGTTTAAAGCTGCAGGAAAGGAGGATTTAGTGTGCAAGCTGAAGAAGTCTCTTTACGGATTAAAGCAATTACCGCGATAATGGTACAAGAGATTTGACAGCTTTATGATTGGCCAAGGATACACGAGGAGCTTATATGACCCATATGTTTACATGCCCAAGCTACATGATTGTGAGTATATTTATTTATTGTTATATGTTGATGATATGCTTATTGCTTCCAGGAATTTTTCGGCTATTCAAAAGTTGAAAAAGGAGCTGTTATTCGAGTTTGAGATGAAGGATCTTGGAGAAGCTAAGAAGATATTAGATATGAAGATCGAGAGAGACAGGGTGAAGGGGAGATTGAAGCTTACACAGAGGAGCTACTTGCAGAAGATGTTGAAGAAATTCAGCTTTGATGGAAGTGCTAAGACAGTGAGCACTCCATTGGATCCCCACTTTAAGCTTTCAGCTAAGATACATATCAAAGGTTCCATATGCCAATACGGTGGGTAGCTTGATGCATGCGATGGTATGTATGAGGCCAGATTTATCACAGGCCGTGAGTATGGTGTCTAGGTACATGCACGACTCCGGTAAGGGTCATTGGGAGACCGTGAAGTGGATTCTACTATATATCAAAGGTACCATGGATGTTGGTTTGGTATTTCAGAAGAATGATAAGATTAGGCAGGATTGTATTTGCTATATGGATTCTGATTATGCAGAGGATTTTGCTAAGCGCCGGTCTACTTCAAGATATGTATTTACATTGGCAAGAGCACTAGTGTATTAGAGATGTACACTTTAGTCTACAGTGACTCTCTCTACTACGGAGACAGAGTATATGGCGGTGACTGAAGCTATAAAGGAGGCTTTGTGATTGCACAGATTGTTGGATGACTTAGGGATTGCACAGGAGACCATTCGGGGGTATTATGATAGCATGTCAGCTATCTATTTGGCAAAAAACTAAGTTTATCATGCACGCACGAAGCACATTGTTGTCAGATTCTACTTTGTCCGAGATGTCTTGGATGATGGAGATGTCATATTGGAGAAGATCCACACAAAGGACAACCCTGCGAATATGTTGACCAAAGTTGTCTCGGGTGTGAAGTTTGGTCATTGTTTGGAGTTATTGAACATTCTTCGTTGTTGATGGTCTTTGGCGGCCATTTGGATAAACTACGTGAGGCTTGATTCCTTGGACAAGAGGATATGTAGGTAGTCTTTTT